GACTCTGTGCTTCCACTGCAGGGGGCACGGGTTCGATCCCTGGTCGGGGAACAAAGATCCCGCCGCAGAAAAAGAGTGGGCAGTCCCTAGAGTAGAGCTAATGGTTGTAGTGTGTGTTGTCTCTCAGTCTTTTGAGTTTGTCCAAGGGGAAAGAACTATTTCTGCTGCTTCCCAGATTACAGTTGGCCTTTGATAGCTGTGAGTAGATTGTTTATTGGTTCACATGATTTCATAGATAGAACACAGGATATGGAGTCCACGGTTCTAGGTTTGAGCTCCAACAGTGCTTCTTTTTTTTTTTTTTTTTTTTTTTTTTTGCTGTACGCGGGCCTGTCACTGTTGTGGCCTCTCCCGTTACGGAGCACAGGCTCCGGACACGCAGGCTCAGCGGCCATGGCTCACGGGCCCAGCCGCTCCACGGCACGTGGGATCCTCCCGGACCGGGGCACGAACCCGTGTCCCCTCCATCGGCAGGTGGACTCTCAACCACTGCACCACCAGGGAAGCCCCAACAGTGCTTCTTAATAGTGTTCATTAAGCCACATCCATTTAATCTTCTGAGCCTCACTTCCGACTTTTCTGAAATGCTAAATTAGAAGGAAGTAACTGAAGGTTAAATAGCATAGTGGATGTAAGAAGTGCTTTGTATATGGTGTAAAACTCTCATTTCCCAAACATTAATGCATACTGGAATCACTTGGAAGGCTTTGAAAAAGATTGATTCCTGAGTCCCATCTCACAGTCTACTTAAATCATGATTTTGAGTGGTGAGGTCTGGGCATTTGTATTTTTTCAGAAGTAGACAGATGTTTGGGAACTGTAGATGTGGATTATCATGGAGAAATTTTCCCCTACCAAGTGCCTTCCTCTCATGCTCTAGGCTACTTCCCTCAGTGACTTTGCTGTGATCTCCCTGGATATTCATCTCAGGGGAACGATCATATGTTAACCTGTTGTCATGAGGCATCTCAGCGCAAAAAAGAATTGTGGATTATTTTGTATTCACCACTTCTGGGATTGCTTTTTTAAAGAGATTTGAGGCTTACTTGAATGGAAAGTAAGTGGAACTAGAGGTCTCTAAAACAGTTATTTTGTCCCTGGTGGCTCTCCTGGTTGAATCTGTTCCATTCTTTGTGGACCACTGTGTTGCTTTGGTAATTTTGGGGGCCCAGAAGAGAGTTGAGTTCTGATGTAAATCTGGTTTGGTGTAAACGTGGCCTCAAACATTTGCCAGAATCAAATCACAGGATGTAAAGTTCTTTAATTCTCATGGTTATTCTTCCCCACACCCTCATAGGCATTGTGTCGGGCAGAGGATGAAGAGGATATCCGTGCGGCCACCCAGGCCAAGGCTGAACAGGTGGCTGAGCTTGCAGAATTCAATGAGAATGATGGGTTTCCTGCTGCTGACGGAGAGGAGGCTGGTCGGCCTGGGGCTGAAGATGAGGAGATGTCCCGGGCTGAGCAGGAAATTGCTGCCCTTGTAGAACAGGTCTGTGTTGGATCCACTAGTTCTCAACCTCACCCTCCACAACTCCTTCCTCTGGACTCTGCGACCTTCTTTCTGTCTTCTCTGGTGAAAATAATCAAGGGTGATGGGCCCTGGGCACCAGGTCCCTATGTTCATCATCGCTGCTCTTCCCCACAGCTGACCCCCATTGAGCGCTATGCCATGAAATTCCTGGAAGCCTCACTGGAGGAGGTGAGCCGAGAGGAGCTCAAGCAGGCAGAAGTGAGTATGGGGGTGGGGATAGAAGTGGAAAGTGGCTGCTTTCCACCCACTCCCCATGCCTCTTGCCTCCCTCTGACCACTCATTGGGCTCTGTTTTTGGTAGGAGCAAGTGGAAGCTGCCCGCAAGGACCTGGACCAAGCGAAGGAGGAGGTGTTCCGCCTACCCCAGGAGGAGGAGGAGGGGCCAGGGGCTGGGGATGAGGTTTCCTGTGGGACTGGTGGAGGCAGCCACCGGCGCAGTAAGAAGGCCAAGGCCCCCGAAAGGCCAGGGACTCGCGTCAGTGAGCGTCTTCGTGGAGCCCGGGCTGAAACTCAAGGGGCAAACCACACTCCTGTCACATCCACGCATCACCCCCGCAGCACCTCCACACCCCCCCGCTGCAGCCCTGCCAGGGACCGAGTTCCCCGGCCAGCGCCTAGGCCTCGACCCACTCCAGCTTCAGCTCCTGCTGCAATTCCTGCCCCAGTCCCTGCCCCAATCTCTGCCCCAATCCCCATTTCAGCCCCAAATCCAATAACCATGCTTCCTGTCCATATCTTGCCTTCTCCCCCTCTTCCTTCTGCACAGATTCCTCCTTCTTGTTCTTCTGCCTGTACCCCTCCTCCTGCCTGTACCCCTCCACCAGCTCATACCCCACCTCCAGCCCAAACTTCTCTCTTAACTCCTTCCTCCCCTCTCTTGCTTGGTCTACCTTCTGTGCCCATTTCCCCACCAGTCACCAACCTCCCCTTGGGCATGGGGCCTGAGGCAGAGCTGTGTGCACAAGCAATGGCATCTACTGAGTCCCTGGAGCTGGCTGATATGGCCAGTTCCGAGACTTCCCCAATTACTCTTGTGCCCCCTAAGGATCTGTTGCCAGTTGCTGTTGAGATCCTGCCTATGTCAGAGAAGAACCTTTCTCTCACCTCTTCTGCACCTAGCCCAAACCTGGCAGCTGGCAGCGTCCCCAACGGTCAAGAGCAGGAGGTGCCCGAGCCTGCTGAGGCGACCATCCTCTCAGTGCTGCCTGATGGTGAGGAAGTGGCCACGTGTCTGAGTGAGAGCAATAGGCTGGAGCTCCCACCCTCAGCAGCATCTGATGAGCTACTTCAGGAGCCACTGGAGGCTGACAAGAACTCAGAAGAGCTGGTGGAAGCCCAGACCCCAACGTCTACCCCAGAGAAACCACAGGAACTTGTTTCAGCTGAGGCCGCAGCCCCGTCAACCTCATCCTCGGCCACCTCCACACCTGAGGGTCCTTCGCCTGCCCGGCCCCCTCGGCGTCGCACCAGTGCCGATGTAGAAATTAGGGGTCAGGGGGCTGGTCGGCCAGGGCAGCCTCCAGGTCCCAAAGTGCTTCGCAAGCTGCCAGGACGGCTAGTGACTGTGGTAGAGGAAAAGGAACTGGTGAGGCGACGGCGACAGCAGCGGGGAACTGCCAGCACCCTAGTGCCTGGGGTCTCTGAGACTGGTGCCAGCCCGGGAAGCCCATCTACCCGCAGCATGTCGGGGCCAGAATCCTCACCTCCCACCAGTGGTCCCTGTGAAGCTGCTCCCCCATCCACACTGCCCACCCCAACCCAGCAGCCCTTCATAGCTCGCCGTCACATTGAGCTGGGGCTGACTGGTGGGGGCAGCCCAGAAAATGGAGAAGGGGCACTACTTGCCATCACCCCTCCTGCTGTGAAACGTCGCAGGGGGAGGCCCCCCAAGAAGAACAGGTCTCCAGCAGATGCTGGGCGAGGGGTGGATGAGGCACCTTCATCCACCTCTAAGGGAAAAACCAGTGGGGCTGACTCAGTCCCTGGGGCTGAGACCCTTATTGTTGCGGAGCCTGTCCTGGCACCCCAGCTTATTCCTGGGCCCCAGCCTCTTGGACCCCAGCCAGTTCATAGACCCGAGCCTGTCATCCTATCACCTGTGGAGAAAAGAAGGCGTGGGCGGCCCCCTAAGGCCCGAGATTTGCCCATTCCTGGGACCATTTCCTCTCCAGGGGATGGCAGCTTAGAGAGCCGGACACAGCCAATCCCGATACCGCCACCCCTGCCACCGCTCCCACCACTCCTAGCCTGTCCCACTGCTACTGTCGCCAACACTGTCACCACTCTCACCATTTCAACATCCCCACCCAAGCGGAAGCGGGGCCGACCTCCCAAGAATCCACCGTCACCTCGGCCCAGCCAGCTCCCTGTCTTGGACCGCGACAGCTCTCCTGTCCTTGAGAGCTGTGGATTGGGGAAGCAGCGGCAACCCCAGGGCCAGGGGGAGAGTGAGGGTAGTTCATCTGATGAGGATGGAAGCCGCCCCCTCACCCGCCTGGCCCGCTTACGTCTTGAAGCAGAAGGAATGAGGGGACGAAAGAGTGAAGGGTCCATGGTAGTGGCTGTAATTCAGGATGATCTGGATTTAGCAGATAGTGGGCCAGGCGGGTTAGAATTGACACCTCCCGTGGTCTCATTGGCTCCAAAACTGCGTTCGACCCGGCTGCGTCCAGGGTCTCTAGTGCCCCCACTAGAGACTGAGAAGGTGCCTCGCAAACGGGCAGGGGCCCCAGTTGGCTGTGGTCCTGGGCTGGCAAAGCGGAGCCGCCTGCAGCCCCCAAGTCCCCTGGGGCCTGAGGGTTCAGTAGAGGAGTCTGAGGCTGAAGCCTCAGGTGAGGAGGAGGAAGGGGATGGGACCCCACGGCGCCGGCCTGGCCCCCGCCGGCTTGGTGGGGCCACCAACCAAGGGGACCAGCGTATCTTGCGCAGCAGCGCCCCTTCCCACTTGGCTGGCCCTACCATTAGTCACAGAGGCCGTAAAGCCAAGACGTGAGTGGGCTGCCCCCCTTCACCTAGGCTTTCTGCCATGGCCCCTCTCCCTCCATGACCAGGCCTGACTCTGTTAACCACTACTTGAAGTCTTTTGAGGGGGGAATCCTCCAGGGAGACATAGGGGCCTTCTCCCTTCTTTCCACCAAAGTAGGGGGTAGGCAACTGGTTGTCATGGAAACGGGGCTCTTCACATATCCCCTTCCCTTCCACCCCACATGGCTGGGCAGTGTTAAGGGTGGCAAGATAGTCTTTGTCCCCACCCCCTTGTACTTGATTTCCCCAGCTATCTTTCACAGCCCCCCACCCTTAGGGGAAGGGGGAGGGGCTTCTCTACAATGAGTTTTTTTCTTTTTTTCTTTTTTTTTTTTTTTTAAGAAGAAAAAAATAATAAACTTAGTTTCTGTATGAGCATCCGCGTAAGGAGGCTTCTGATTTTCTGGTCTGGTGGAGGGTTGGGTGGGAACTTGGGTATCAGTTTTCTCTTCTCTCTTGCTCTTGCTAAGACCCTAGTACCCGATCTCTAACTCAGAATTATGTATCTTTGAGGCAGAAATCTCCACGCAAGAAGAGGGAAGAATGGCAAATCTTATCTGGTAGGGTACCTTTCCCTAAAGTTTCAATTTTAAGTCATTCAGACTCATACTTTTCCTCTCCTCCCTTCTATTCCCTTGGTTGCTGGACTTTCCTTGGGAGCTATCTGATGCCTCAGACTTTTCCCTGCTTTAATCCCTCTTGCTCAGGTGCTTTCACTCCCTTTCCAGAAGGCAGGCATTCTACCTCCAGTTACTCCATCTAGCCAGACTGGTTTGAATCAGCCACACCCCCTTCCGAGCTTCTGGGGCTCTTCGGATGGTGGCTGGCCACTCAACCCCACCCCTGGGCTTGGCTTGGAGCCCTGAGTCAGCTCCATCTCCACCCAAGCCAAATCAAACCTGAGGCAGGAGCCGAAACTCACAGTTCCTCAAGGCCTATAGCCAGGTAAGAGTCCCCATTTGTTTTTACATTTTCTCTGACCTCAATTCCCTGGACCCTCTCCTTGTGCTCTCCCGATGACTGTACTGTGTTTATCTCATCTCAGTTCTTTCCTCACATCCATTCTCCTGCAGCTTTGTGGCACATATCATTCTTGGCTCTTGCCTCTTCTTTTTAACCTTTCCTATCCTTTGTTACTTGTGTTCTGAGAACTGCACATGTTTTCATTTTGTCTAGGGTGAAGGGGAATGGTTGGGGATGAAGGTAGAAAGGCAGTTTGATGCCAGGGCTCTGAGGGCTTGGGAAATAGGGAGATGAGAAATGATTAGGGCATCATTATGCAGGTTTCTGTGTGGCTTATGAGGTCATTCGGACTCAGTGTTAATCTGATTGTGTTGTATGACCTGGGTTAAATGGAGAGAGGAGGTGGAAGGGAGTCAGCATAGCAAGGGAGGCTCTGATTTGGGGAGGGTGAGGTGTTTCTGAAGTTGAGTTTCCTCAGCTACAAAGAGAGCTTAGATGGGTACTTTTCCCCTACTTTCCCCCATCCCCAGCACTGTGTTTTCACATGAAATGGCTGATATCCTTAAAGTGGAGTAGAGGACCTAGGATGCCATTCTCTGATTCCTCCTTAATATTTGAGGGCAGCCTCTAAGGAACTTCAGGGCCCTTTGAAATACAGTTTAAAATCACTGAATTGGGTAGTCTCAGACTCCTAGCAGTTTTTGAGATTCTGTGTTTTTCTACTGCCTCTCAGCATGCACCTGTCATTTTGCTTTTCCCCACTTGCCAAAACAGTAAGTAAAACAGATAATGCTACATTGACACCAGCTTGCCTTTAAAGACTGGGAACCTTAGGCTGAGGAAAAAGGATTCCAGACACACATTTCCTCTCAGTCTATGAGTCACTAGGGGAATTCCCCAGGTAAGGCAGCATTTCTGAGAGTTCGACTAGGCCATGACATGATCAGAGAGGCGGGTAGAGTCTGAGCAAGACTCTACCAGGGGTTCAGTTGTTGGGCTTACAAGTATCTTGACTATATCGCCTACAGGTGATGGAGGACGAGGAGAAGGCAGTGGAGAGCTTGGTGAGCAACACGGAAGCTGCTCGTTCTCCATCCCCCATTCGCTGCTGCTCGCTCCGCCTCCGCTACTTGGCAGCTACTAGCATTATATGTGGCTGCTCTTGCCTGGGAGTCGTGGCCCTTGTGTTTGCCATCAAGGTGAGGAAAGCAATTCCTATGGAAGCAGGGGTGTGGGTGTAGTAAGGCAATGGTTCTGTATACCCGATCTATCTATATTGATCAAACAGTTAATAAGTACCTGCCAGAGCCTGGCTGTGGGCCTGGTGCCAGAAATAGGAATAAGACATGGTTCCTGCCGTCAAAGGGCCCACAGTCTAGCAAAAGAGATGGCTGTGAAAATGGGTAACTATTAATGGAATACAGCTCATCAGTACTATGATAGAGGAAGCACAGTGTATTCCAGGAGCTATGTATGTGTATATATATGTATGTAAGTACATGTATGTGTATAATAGAGTAGGTGAACAGGAAAGGCATCCTAAGGGAGTAAAAAGAAAGTAATCTTAAAGGATGAGTGAATAAGGGTAAAAGCGCATTCCAGGCGAAGGGAGCACAGGCAGCCTATACAAAGGCAACCTGGACTATTAGTTCAGCGTGAATGAACCAGTAAGGAACAGTGAGAGATGAAGCCAGAGGATCTAGATTCCCAAGAGCCTCCAGTGCTGTGCTTAGGAGTTTCAGCTTTATCTGGGAAGTACTGGGGAGCCTTTCAAGGATTTTTGCAAAGGAGAATGACATGGTCAGATTTGTGTTGTAGTTAAGGTCCACTCTCAAGGCCTGTAAAGAGGATGAATGGGAAGGGGCAAGACTCGGGGCAGCCGAGCAGTAACTAGAACAATCTATAGGAGTTCGGAAGAAGCTATGAAGTTTTTGAGAGGGCTTCACCATTTCAAAACATCTCACAGAAACCTCATGTGTACCTTTCGGAACTTCCTCGACCCTAGCTGTATTTTTATCAGAAACTGTTTTCTTATCGTCATAATTTCTGGATTTCATTAGGGCAAAATCATAAAAAGAATCCTTAATGAAAAAGAGGAGGCCCTTTGGGCTAATGAGAACGGAGTGTTGTTTGGTTCGACATGAGTGAAATACTCCAAGATTGGTCACTGTTTCTTGCCAAGAATTCCAAATTCTGAATGAATCTGAAATGAGTAGAAAAGAATGGGGAATAAAATGAAAAGTATTTTTCCATACGTGATCTTCTGAGCAAAACAAAAGCCATCCTGAAAAGGAGGCAGAGCAGAGCGGGTACCTTACTTTGCGGTTGAGACATGAGAGTTAGAAACTGGAAAGGGAGGTGGAGGGTTTGGGTGTGAGATTTTGAGCCAAGACGAGGATGTAGGATTGGAGTGGGGCAGAGGGCATTTTGGGGCAGAAGCAGGGGGAGAACCTAACCAAAAACCTGCCCCCACAGGCGGAAGAGCGGCATAAGGCAGGCCGGTTGGAGGAGGCAGTGCACTGGGGGGCCCGGGCCCGGAGGTTCATCCTGGCCAGCTTTGCCGTCTGGCTTGCTGTCCTTGTTCTGGGCCCGCTGCTTCTATGGCTGCTCTCCTACGCCATCGCCCAGGCTGAGTGACCCTAGCTGGCCTTTGCTGAGAGTCAGCCGAGACATCCTGAATCCTGCAATGCGGCATTGCTAGGGTCTGGTGCCAACAATGGTACTTCCTGGCTGGAAGGATGGTGCCTCTCTCAAAGGGCTTTGGAAGAGAGAGGCAGCAGCTGAGACTGATGAGGGGAGGTCAGCCTGCTCTGTTCTTTCAGTGCCCACCATCCCCTATTCCCCCCAATCTCCTCCATCCTAGGGGCCTCTAGGAGGTGGGATTGAAGCCCAGGCCTGATTTTATTAGTATTTGTTTTGTAATAAAAGTCTTTTTTAGTGGCGAAATGCTCCTGTCTAATTGTTCTTCCCCTGCTTTTCCCTGGGCCCTTAGTGAGAGCCAGACTGGACATCTGACTGATGGGAGAAGCCTGCATCTCCCCTTACCTAGGGGCTTCAAGAGGAGGAAAGGATTTTTTTCCCCCTTTTCCTTCTTCTTCTGGAAGTTTCCCTTCTTGGAAAGACCCAAACTTCTCCCTTACCTATCAACAGAGACCCTTAGGCCACAGAGGAAAAGTCGTAGCAGCAGCTACTAGTTATTGAGTGCTTACTATATTCCAGGCTGTGTGCTAAGCATTTTATATTTCTTAATTTCTTCAGTCCTCAAAATCACTCAATAGTAGGTACTACTGTTTTTATTTTATAGTTGAGGAAACAGGCACAGATTATCCAAGGTCACACAGCTGGTAAGTGGCAGAGCTGGAATTCAACCTAGACAGTTAGTTCCAGAGCTGAGAGAGGAGTGAAAGGATTGGATAATAGCAACCACCACCCTGTATGTAGAAACTTGTATGATTATGATGAATTTTCATATCCTTTATCTTGGGCCTTGTGATAATATTTTAAACATTTTTAAAATTGTGAGGTACACAAAGCAAAATATCCAAAACAGAATAGACAGCTCAATAAGTTAACACAAAGAAAACATCTGAAAAACCACCATTCAGTCAATGTAACCAATTTAACATTGCCAGCACTCCAAAGCCTCCTTTATACCCCTCCCAATCACTACACCTTCGTTTCTTCCCACAGGTAACTTTCTGTTTGTTACCCACAAGTATTCTGACTTCTAACAATGTAGTTTAGTTTTGCCTGCATTTGAACACTATATAAATGGAATCATATGTATTCTTTTTATGTCTTGCTTCTTTTACTTAACATTGCTTGTGAGATTGATCAATATTTGGTGTAGCTGTAGTTTTCATTACTGTATAGTATTCTATTATATGACTATATTACAATTTACCGATTTTCTGTTAGTGGACTTTTGGAATGTTTCCCATTAGGATATTATGAATCATGCTGCTTTGGACATTCTTGTACATGTTCTTTGAAGTACATGTACCCTGGGAATGAAATTTTGGGGTGATTTCACCAGCAGAGAGACCAACAGAGCACCTAAAGGAATTAGAGATGTTGCACAATGAAGATTAAAGGGGAAGGAGGGGCACATGATGGTTGTTTTCAGTGTTCCAGAGTGTTTCAGGAAGGAAAAGTGAAGGGAATCCATTGTTGGTCCAGAGGTTAGAACTACAACAATGGGTAGAAGCCATATAAACAGCAGTGGTTCTGAACCTTGACTTCACAATGGAACCTCCTGGGGAGCCTTAAAAAGTAACTTATGCCTGAGCTTTACCACCCACCCCCCCGAGATTCTGATTTAATTTGTGTGAGGTGCTGCCTGGGCATCAGGATAACTCAGAGAGATTTTTTACAAAAAATTTTTAAAGCTAGTATTTGATTAATTAGCAGCTTCAGTTTACTAGAATATCCCATTTCCCCAAACTGATTACATGAGGTCTTGCTATTTTTTAACTCCTTATTTTGAAAAAATTTCAAATCTATAGAACAATAACAGTACAATGAACTCATGTGTACTCTTACCTAGATTTATAATGTTTAACTTCACCACATTTGCTTTATATCTTTCTAAATATACGTAATTGTTACTGCTGAATCATTTGAGGGTAAGTTGAAGGCCCTTCATCTCTAAATACCTCATGATCTATATCTCCTAAGAACAAGGATATTCTCTCACATAACTACAGTACAATTATATAATTCAGAGAAGTTAACATCAGTACAATATTATCTTCTAATATATAGTCCATATTCAAACTTGCCAGTTGTCCCAATAATGTCCTGTATAGCAATTTCTGCTTTAGGGTCCAGTGTGGGAACACTTACTGCATTTAGTTTGTCATATCTCTTTAGCATTCTTCAATTTTTAGTAGGTCCTCATCCTTTCTTTTTTTGTCTTTCATGACATTTTTGAGGTGAGGCCATTTGTAGAATGTCTCTCAGTTTGGGTTCTTATGACTGAATTCAGGTTATGCATTTTTGGCTAAAATATTACATAAGCTGTATGTCCTCAATACATCACATCGAGAGGCATATGTCAATTTGCCCTTTTACTGGTGGAGGTAACATTGACAACTTGATTTTAAGGTAGTGTCTGTCAGATTTCTGCAGAGGTAAAGATACTTTTTTTCCTTTGTAATTAAAAAGTTATCTGTATAGGGACTTCCCTGGTGGCGCAGTGCTTAAGAATCCGCCTGCCAATGCAGGGGACACGGGTTCAAGCCCTGGTCTGGGAAGATCCCACATGCCGCGGAGCAACTAAGCCCGTGCGCCACAACTACTGAGCCTGCGTGCTGCAACTATTGAAGCCTGCAAGCCTAGAGTCCATGCTCTGCAACAAGAGAAGCCACCACAGTGTGAAGCCCACGCACCGCAACGAAGAGTAGCCCCTGCTCACCACAACCAGAGAAAGCCCGTGCGCAGCAACGAAGACCCAATGCAGACAAAAATAAAATAAATAAATTTACCAAAAAAAAAAGTTACCTGTATAAATACCTCAGCAAATTTTTACCAGTAACTTTAATGTCCATTTTGCCCAAGTCAGTTATTCTGAGGCTTACAAAATGTTGATGTTTTAACTTTATCATTCTTTCTATACTTATTAGTTGGCATTCTACTATAAAGAAGGTCTTTTTCTCTTTCATTTATTTATTTACAATTTTTAGTGTCAGTATGGTCTCAGATTGTTTTTAAATTCAATTTGTTATACCCATTACTGTCATTAGCCTTCTTAAATTGTTTTGTTGAGGTATAATTTACCTACAGTAAAGTACACAGATCTTATGTGTGCCGAATGGTGAATGTTTTTACACGAACACACCTGTGTAATCACCACCTAGGTGAATAGAACATTTCTAGTACATCAGAAGGCTCCCTCATAGCCCTCTCAGTCTCATTATCCTTTTTGTCCCTGATTTCAACCTGGTTCTTGTGTTTAAGTCCCCATCTTACTTCACTTGCTTTCTGGCACAAATTATTCCAGGCTCATCTTGTACTTTCTCTGCTCCAGCCTGGGAATTGGCCATTTCTCCCAAGGAGCCCTGGTTTCTTTTATTGAGGACTGTTACTTTGAAATCAGTATCTAGACACTAGCTATTGCTCACTCTACTGGGACATTATTGCTTCTAGGCCCTTTCAGAGGTTAGAGCTAGAAAATATCGAATTTTATCTATCTTAAGTCATTTCTTAAAATCATACCTCCAATTTCAATCAATCATAAGGTGCTCTCCTTTCCCTATTCCAAATTCCATATTCCCACAGTAAGAATCTAGGCCGCCAACTACATCAATCTTTATTGACTTGCTCAATTTCAAAATAATTATCCCATTATGCTACCAAACAACAAGTCTACTAAGTACAAGATTTCTTTGCAACTATTTTGTCTTTAGATTAATGGTATAAGGTCAAAGTACTCTGTTAAAAAGTTACTTGGATTCGTTTTTCTCCTCTTACATGCTTGCAATCCCAAAGTGACATTTCTAAGATAGAAGATTAAATGAATTCATTCTCTGCCTCCTGGAACACAACCTCCACAAGGGTAGGGACCTTATTTTTTTTCATTGCTATTAGTCTAACTCTTAGACGCTCAACAAATATTTGTTGAATGAGTAAGTGAATGCCAGGGTTGAGCTGTGCACTGAGAATATTTATGAAGTGAGTCGCTCCTGGCAGAATCTCATAAACTGGTAGGCTTCGAACAAAGTGTGATATTCCCCAAGGCTTTCGGGAGGTGGTAGTGGAAGACTGGGAAAATGTATAACCCCAGATGGTGAGCACTAGGGCTTTGGAGGTATTCAAGAGTCGGAGCAGCCACAGGACGACAAAGCCTCTTCTGCCTGACGGGCCGTGGCTCGTACAAGTTCGTACCAAGTAGCCAAGTTGAGGTCCAAGCTGCTTGCTCTGCCCCTCAAAGCAGGCGCTTTGGACTAGGCTGCTAATATTTTTAAAAGCCGAATTGAGATAGGGATTCTGAGAGACTGAGGGGACCATGCCCAAGTCCGGGAGTCGAAGGCGCAGCGAGTCCCGCGTCCCAGGTACCCGGAGGTCACACTTACCGGTAAATCTAACTTCCGGGTCCCGTTCCAGGCCTCCAGCCCCACTGGTCAATAAGCTCCGCCCCCTGCTGGCCCCAGCAGATGCCGTGCCCTGATTGGCCGTATCTGAAGCCCCGCCCTAGCGTCGCAACCTCAGGTAACTCCGAGCTCCAACTCCCGCGCCAGCCTCGGGACTCTCGGCTTCTTATTGGACTACCAGTTTCCAATCGGAAGGGTTTTTGAACCTCAGTCTTCGGGTGGCGCTGGCCATTGGCGGACAGAATGGGGGCGGGGCCTGAGGTCGTCGCCGGCACTGCCTGTGGATAAGGTAAGGGACTAGAGGCGAACCCGGCGACAAGGAGGCATCGCGTCGACTCTGACTTCTCTCCCCGCCCCCGCGGGTGAGCCCGCGCGAGACCCTGCGCCCCCTCCCAGCGCCCGCCCAAGTGCGCCTGCGCAGCAACAGCCACCAGCCCGACTGCCCCTTCCCCTCTTCCTCCGCACCTTTTCCCTTCCTCTCCCCCGCCCCCCTCCCTGCCTTGCCATCCCGTCCCGACCCCTAAGGCCCTTTCGTGGGGTCTCCCTAGTCCCTGTCCTTCCCCCACCCCGTCCCCATCCCACAGGATCCTGGCTCCCCAGCCGCAAGGGCTGCGCCTCTGCGAGCCGCGATGTTCGTCTTCTCAGAGCCTGTGGGCCTCCCTGCCTTCACTGCCCTCCGTTTCCTCCACACAGGCCCCCACCTACTTCAAAATGACGCTAGACGTGGGGCCGGAGGATGAGCTGCCCGACTGGGCTGCGGCCAAGGAGTTTTACCAGAAGTACGACCCTAAGGACGTCATTGGCAGGTGAGCCCACGGCAGGGAAACAGAGGTCCAGAGAGGTCAGGTCCTAGCCAGGGTACACAGTTCCCTCTGAGGGCTGAAGAGTTCTAAATGAGAAGGGTCAGTGGTGAGTGGAGGAACATTTGGTGACTAGACTCTTACTCTGGGTCAACCCCCATTTTTTCACGAATTCATTCATTTATGTGTTCAACAAACATAATTCAAGCACCTACTGGGTGCCAGACACAAAGATAAACATGGGGAGTGTAGAAGAGATGTTTATGCCTTGGAGGTACTCCCAAGTGATGTGACTGAAGGAGACACATGAACATATAAAAAGTATCAGGCTGTGTAAAAAGTGCTGCTGGGTCTCAGAAAACCACATCTTCCCAGAAGTGGTGATATTTGGGTCTTGAAGGATGAGTAGGAGTTCAGCACACACCAAATAGAAGGAAGCCGTCACCTGTAGAGGCAGTGGCCGATACATTTATTCATCAAGGTTTCCTAAGCATGTACAATGTGCTGGGTGCACTGTGCTAGGCACTGGAGATGTAAGACCCACACCTTAACATCTTACAAGATTTCTGTTCTCCTGGAGTTTATGTTCCAGTGGTAGAGAGAGACAATAGACACGAAAACAAGTTAAAGTTCATTGTAAGTGCTAGGGAGAAAATAAATAGGGTTATGGAACAAGAGTAATTAATGGAGCTGAGACTTGGACGATGAGAATGAACAGGTCATGAGCTGAGGCAGGATATATTCCGGGCAGAGGGAACTGCCGTGTTCAAAGGCTCAGCATAGGAAAGGGCCTATTCAAGCAACAGATAGAAGATCATAGTGACTAGAATGTTGTAAGAGTGGGAAAAGGTGGAGGAAATTAAGTTGGAGAGGTAAATAGAGGTTGGATTATGTAGAGCCTTGGGCCAGGATAAGGAATTTTTTAAAAAATAAATTTATTTATTTATTTATTATTTATTTTTGGCTGTGTTGGGTCTTCGTTGCTGCCTCGGGCTTTTCTCTAGTTGCGGCGAGTGGGGGCTACTCTTCGTTGCGGTGCACGGGCTTCTCATCGCAGTGGCTTCCCTTGTTGCGGAGCACAGGCTATAGGCACCTGGGCTTCAGTAGTTGTGGCTTGTGGGCTCTAGAGCGCAGGCTCAGTAGTTGTGGTGCACGGGCCCAGTTGCTCCACGGCATGTGGGGTCTTCCTGGACCAGGGCTCGAACCTGTGTCCCCTGCATTGGCAGGCGGATTCTTAACCACTGCGCTACCAGTGAAGTTCCAGGAATTTTTTTTTTAAGATTTTTTTTGATGCGGACCATCTTTAAATTCTTTACTGATTGTTACAATATTGCTTCTGTTTTATGTTTTGGTTTTTTGGCCGCAAGGCACGTGGGATCCTAGCTCCCCAGGGATCGAACCTGCACCCCCTGCATTGGAAGGCAAAGTCTTAACCACTGGACTGCCAGGGAATTCCCTAGGGTAAGGAATGTAAAGTTTACTCTGGTGATACTGGTGGTTTCCAGTAGGGTAGTAATATGGTCTGATTTACATTTCTGTGATTTGGGGCCTAGGAACTTAACCTTTCTATGCCTCAAAGTGTCTCCATTGTAAATGAGAGAATTAAAAAAAGAGCCTACCTTGTAGGTTGCTGTGAGGACAGAAAGAGTTAATATGGTACTCTTAGGACACGTCCTGGCACATGGTGAGTGCTTAATACAGGTGTGTTGCTACATTTAAAAAAGATCATTCTGGCTCTTAGGTGGAGAGTGGATAGGAGAGGGGCAAGAATGGAAGCATAGAGACCAGCTAGGAAGCTATTGATTCATTCAGGCTAGAGATGGTGATGGTTTAGAATAGAGTGGTAGTGGTAGAGATGGAGAGAAGTGGATAATTTAGGTGATGGCTTGAAGGGAGACTTGATACAATTTCCTGAAGGATTGGATATGGACCACAAGGGAAAGGGAAGAAAACAAGAATAAATTCTAAGGTTTGGATTTGAGTGCTTGAGTACCATTTACTGAAATGAAGAAGACTGGGGAAGATCAGTCTGGAGGGAGGTGTGAGCAAGTCAAGAGTTCCACCAACTGGAGCTGTCCAGTGGGCATGTGAGTCTGGAACTCAAGCAAGAGCGCTGGGCTAGAGCTGTTAACTTGGGAGGCATCAGCATATAGATAGTAGTTGGCAAGAGAAATGTGCAGTAGTGAAAGAGACCTAGGCTCAGACTGTGGGGCATGTCACCATTAAAGAGTTAGAGAAGGAGGAGCCAGCAAGGGAAACTATAGAGATGCCATCTGTGAGTTAGAAAGAAAAACACAAGAGTATGTTTGGGACTTCCCTGGTGTTTAGTGGTTAAGAATCTCCCTGCCAGTGCAGGGGACATGGGTTCAATCCCTGGTCCAGGAAGATCCCATATGCCACAGAGCAATGAAGCCCGTGCACCACAACTACTGAGCCTGCATTCTAGAGCCCGTGAGCCACAACTGCTGAGCCCACATGCCACAACTACTGAAGCTCGCGCGCCTAGAGCCCATGCTCCACAACAAGAGAAGCCACGGCAGTGAAAAGCCCGCGCACCGCAACGAAGAGTAGCCCCCCCCCTCCGCTTGCTGCAACTAGAGAAAGCCCGCGCGCAGCAACGAAGACCCAATGCAGCCAAAAATAAATTAATAAATTATTTTTTTTTAAAAACCCACCAACTTTAAAAAAAAGGAAGAGTATGTTTCTGGAAGGTTGGCATGGTCTGCTGTGACACATGCTGCTGAGGCCAGGAAATCCAATGGTGGTGTGACCGTTAGATTTGTTCAGACTCCTTTTAGATAGCACATGGAGATGTCAAAAAGGTTGTTGGAATCAGGAATTCTGGAGAGAAATCAAGGCTTGAGACAGCGTAGCAGGAAGCATTTGCACATAGTTGGTATTTAAAGCCCCTGGGGGGAATTCCCTGCGGTCTAGTGGTTAGGACTCTGTGCTTCCACTGAAGGGGGCATGGATTTGATCCCTGGTCAGGGGACTAAGATCCCACATGCCGCGCATGGCGTGACCAAAATTAAAAAAAAAAACAAAAAACTCCTGGGTCTGGTTGGAGGTCACAGGGAAGAGAGAATATTGGGAAAAGAAGAGAGCTGAGATCCAAGTCCTGAGATGCTACAAGGTTTCAGGACCAGGTGAGGGAAGATGTACTGAGGCTAGGAAGAGCCCTTAGGTAAAAACAGTGGTTCCACTGCCAAGGGCACAGAAGGACCAGTTTTGAAGAAGGCAGATCAGAGAGTAGGGTCCTTATCATTTCATTCCAAGATTACTGTGGTAGCATCATCCCTCGTCTCTCTCTTCTACCTTTTCCCTCTTGTTTTTCCTGCACACTCTAACTAAATTACTTTTTCCAGAGTACCAATTTCAGACCTGAAGCTTTAAAAGAGCTTGACACATTCTGGAAATGGGTGACAAGTTATAAGTCATGAAACAAAGGTTGAAGAGCAGGGTTATAGCCAGGGATGAGGCTGAAAAGAGACTAAGAAGTTGGTGAAGGCCTTGAGTGACAGATGAAGGAATTTGGATTTGATTTTTATCTTGTAATTAATAGGGAGGCAGTATGGAAAGAAAACAAGAATTTTGAATGCATTCCACAGGTAACTGTAAGGTTGAAAGTATTAGGTATCATTTAAAAAGAGGACAGTTGCTTTAGGGGTACTGCTGAGGAATGAGGGGACACAGAACTTAGTAAAGAATTTAAACAGGGAAGTTTTTAAGCAGTGAATGACACGATTGGGGCTGTTTTAAGAAGCTAGTTCTCAAAGCAGTGTGGCAGATGGGTGGCAGTGGTTGAGATTAGCAGCAGGGAGATCAGTTAGGAGGCCATCGTGGTGGTGGGGTTGGAGTACTAGGAAACAGATTTGAGAGATAATACAGGATGGGCTGGACTGGTTGGATGTTGTAGATTGTGAAGGAGAGGGCGAAGCCAAGAATGGCACCAGGATTTCTAGTTTGGGAGTTGGATTGAATGGCATTGCTATTAACTGAGATCAGGAATTGAGGAGCTAGTGTTGGGAAGATGAAGTGTTCAGTGGTCATGATGACAGTGAGAGGTCTCTAGGACCCTTGGGAAGCAATTTATTCAGTAAGATGTGTTGGCCTGACATCTAGGGGAGTTCCCTGGTGGCCTAGTGGTTAGGTTTCCGGGCTTTCACTGCCATGGTCCGAGTTCAATCCCTGGTCGAGGAACTGAGATCTCGCAAGCTGTGTGGTGCAGCCAAAAATAAAAAAAAAAAAAAGGCAGGGGGGGTGGGGTAGACATCTCGGCATGAATGTTGAAGTCGTGGAGGTGGATAAGATTACTGAGAGTGTATATAGCCTGAGAACAGGGCCAAGGATGGGATCCTGGGGAAGTCTTAACATTTAAGGGGTGGGCAGAGAACAAGGTACTGGGGTGCATCAGTAGGAAGAGTTTGGACTTTGAGTCTGAACACCCAGGTTTCCCATGTAGATAGTCATGACACATAGTAGGAAGGCTTAATTAAAAGAGAATGCTCCTACAGGTAGGGGCTTCCCTGGTGGCGCAGTGGTTGAGAATCCACCTGCCAATGCAGGGGACATGGGTTCGAGCCCTGGTCCGGGAAGATCCCACGTGCCAAGAGCAACTAAGCCCATGCGCCACAACTACTGAGCCTGCTCTCTAGAGCCCGCGAGCCACAGCTACTGAAGCCCGCCTGCCTAGAGCCCATGCTCCGCAACAAGAGAAGCTACTGCGGTGAGAAGCCCGCGCACCACAATGAAGAGTAGCCCCCGCTCACCTCAACTAGAGAACTTCGCGCAAAGAAAAAAAAACCCAAAGAAACCAAAAAAAAAAAAAAAAAAAAAAGAATAAATAAATTAATTAAGAAAAGAAAAAAAGGGGAATGCTCCTACAGTTAACATGCTATAGGATACCAGCGAAGGGAGTGGTCCCTCCCTCCTGGAGAATAAACAAAGAATTGGTAGACGCAGCATTCATTTTGGGCCTTAAAGCGGGAATTCTTTGCTTTATGGCTTCAAAGGATCTTTGACCACCCCCGCTGCCCCGAAATAATAAAAATGTTGGATATATGTGGCAGAGGTCTCCAGCTTTCCACAAATTCTCAGAGGTTCATTAAAAGATGAGTAATAATTAGACCAGGGACCTCGAACTCAGGTGCCCTTAGTAGTTGGGCAGAAAATGAAAACTGTGAAGTGGCCAAGAGTAAAAGAGTAGGAAGTGGTGGGCTTCCCCGGTGGCGCAGTGGTTGAGAGTCCGCCTGCCGATGCAGGGGACGCGGGTTCGTGCCCCAGTCTGAGAAGATCCCACATGCCGCGGAGCAGCTGGGCCCGTGAGCCATGGCCGCTGAGCCTGCGCGTCCGCGTCCGGAGCTTATGCTCCACAACGGGAGAGGCCACAACAGTGAGAGGCCCGCGTACTGCAAAAAAAAAAAAAAGAGTAGGAAGTGGTGAGCATTGTGGCAGCTGGAGCGTTCTTGTTCCAGCTAAGATATGTGAATTCAGATTTGTAAATAACAATGCACTGACCACAGTGTAATATATCTGTGGGCTGTGTTTGCCTGGAGGGTCAATGGTTTGCATCCACTGATTGAACCAGAGATGTGGATGACAGGCATTTCCAGCAAAAGGAGTTATATAAAGGCAAGGAGGCTCTGGGAGCACGGCAGTGAGGTTATGTGAATGGCATCCAGGGAACCAGCATGCGAAATGTGGTATGAAGTCAGATCCTGGAGAGATTTTCACCTTAGCCTGAAATACTTGTAGGGTCACACGGAGTTGGTGACAGAGCCAAGCAAGGAAATCCCTGTCTAGGACTTTGTCTTTTTTTCGGCCGTGCCATGCGGCTTGTGTAATCTTAGTTCCCTGACCAGGGATCAAACCCGAGCCCTCTGCAGTGGAAGAGTGGAGTCCTAACCACTGGACCACATGGAATTCCCTAGGACTTTGTCTTTACAAAGCCAAATGGGCTTTCCTCTCTCTACCTCATTAACGCCTTTCAGCATCCCTTCAAGATATTGTTGGCTACGTTTCAGAGCAGGTGAAGTGGAAGCCCAGAGACCTTATGTCAGTGGGTCACTTGGAGGTTAATTAGTGACAGATTTGGGGCCTAAACCGAGATCTCCTACTTCTCAACTTTGGTCTTCTGGTCAGTGGCCCAGTATTTATTTGGAGCCTCCTTCGCTTGAGGTATTGTAGGGGAACTTTGGGATTTAGATGGGGTAACCGTGGAAGTGGGTAAAATCTGGAGGAAGCCTTCCCACTTTCTTCTGTGGGGTTCTGGGGCAAGGGGCAGGTTCTGGGGCCCAGTGCCTAGGCTCACCCATGGAGGGAGTGGCAGAGACTGGAACCCAGGACCCCTGCCTGCCTGCCTTATGAGCTTTGTGTTGCACATTGCTGGATACCCAGGTTGCTTGCTGATGCTGCTGTGAAGCTCCTGCAGGCCAGGGTGAGCTCCTTGGGAGTTCACCCTGTTGTCTAAATGGGTTTCCAGAGTCTGGCGTAGTGGGTGTGAGGCTGCCAAGGCCCTACTCTGCGTGGAAATGAGAGAGCAGGAGGCCCTGACTTGCGCGTTGTCTGACTCTGGCAGAGGAGTGAGCTCTGTAGTCCGCCGTTGCGTTCATCGAGTTACTGGCCGGGAGTTTGCGGTGAAGATCATGGAGGTGACAGCTGAGCGGCTGAGTCCTGAGCAGCTGGAGGAGGTGCGAGAAGCCACGCGGCGAGAGACACACATCCTTCGCCAGGTCGCCGGCCACCCCCACATCAGTGAGGCTGCATTCCCTGCTCCTGTTAGCCCTGCCCACAGCCCACTTCCCCCAGCACTGCCTCCATGCCTCTGCTCCCTTAGTCCTGGCTCCGCTGCACCTCAAAGTGTGGCCAGCCTTTGGGTCCCTACTGCCTCCTTTGGTTCTCCTTCCTTCCCAGTAACAGCCCACTGCTGCCTCAGGGTGGAAAAGGCCCTTTAATGTGCATCTGCTCCTTTCCATCTCTGTCTCTCTGCCTTTCTGCCTCTTTCCCCAGTCACTCTCATCGATTCCTACGAGTCTTCTAGCTTCATGTTCCTGGTGTTTGACCTGTGAGTATCTCCCAGCCCCAATCGAGAAGCCTCCTCCTCACCTCCATGCATGGCCCCAGCCTTACAGCACAGTGGGCTGAAGACCACCCTGCTCACACCTTCCTCTGCTCCCGCTCAGGCCTGCCTGCCAGCTTAGGGCTCTGGCCCTTCTCCCTAGGTGCCCAGATTGAGGCAAGTTCTTCAAGAGTCATAGTGACCAGCTAAGTACAAAGGGTCTTCATGAGACCCTGTTTTAGGAGGAGAGTGTTTATTCGTGAGCTGACCACATGTAAATAGACTCTCCCTCACCAGTCTCCCAGTGTTTAACACCCTCCACTGGAGTCTCTGTCTGCCCATCAGTTCTTTTTCTGGTCGGTCTAAAGCTGAATGTCAGATATTATACAGTGCTATAATGCAAACCAGTTGCAAAGGTACTTCAAAAGAGAATGGTTTGGATACCAGATGTTTAAGAGAGGCCCTTGGAAGAAATTTACAAAGTCTTCAGACAAGAAATGACCCTCTGCAAAAGTCGAGGGGAAGTGGGAAGTGTCTGTTACACCACATGCAACTTTGCAGAACCTGGTGTGTGCTTTATTTCAAGGATTGATGCAGAGTTGCAATTATAACCTCAGTTTTTAAAGACAAGATAAAATAAGCAAAATTCAAAGTAAAGTCCCATTCAACTTTCTTGCTACTATTAACTGGAAAATTTTGGTCCGTGGTCTAAATAGATTCACTTCAGAAGGCGTTTTGTGAGTGTATTCTCAGATAACACAGACTTCCTGTAAATGATTATTATCATAAGGCACTTATTCTTGCTAAAATAGCCCCCTTGTGGCACAGTGCAGATATTTCGACGGCCAACCCATTGGGCCAAAGTGCCCCTGACACCCGGTTCACTCTTGGAGTGCTCTGTCTCGAGACCCTTTCATTTGTCTACAGAGGGATCTCTTTACTGGCCTCTTCCGTGGTATTTTCTGTGAGCACTGGCTTCTTTTCTCAGCCGCCACTGTGAGGTGCACCTATCTCCCAACCCCTCCTATCCCTTAGGATGCGGAAGGGAGAGCTGTTTGACTATCTCACAGAGAAGGTGGCCCTCTCAGAAAAGGAAACCAGGTAATGGGTGAGCCTGCAACCCCTGGGATGAGCAGGGGGTGGGGCGGGACAGGGAGAAGCAAAGGAGACTGTGCCTCCCTCAGGTCCATCATGAGGTCTCTGCTGGAAGCAGTGAGCTTTCTCCACGCCAACAACATTGTACACCGAGACCTGAAGCCTGAGAATATTCTCCTAGATGACAATATGCAGATCCGACTGTCAGATTTTGGGTTCTCCTGCCACTTGGAACCTGACGAGAAGCTTCGAGGTGAGGGGACCTGGTACCCTGAGAGGCTTGGGAGGGAAAGAGGCTCAGGCCTGGGGCTGGTTGGCTGGGTCTGAGAACTGGGTCCCAAGTACCAAGGAAAGGAAGGTCAGTGAGCACTTGCCAGGTCCCCACTGGGTGCAGAGCCTCGTGTGCAAATCAGTGTGGGCTTCCTGACCTGGAGGCAGACAAGTGAGCAGATCATGGCACGCAGCAGGCAAGGGGCCATGCCAGGAAGCCAGGAAGGAATACCTGATTCAGCTGTAGGAACCCACAGAGGAAGGGGCTCGGACCTCGGCCTGGGGAGGCTGGGCTTGTCACAGGAGGAAAAAGAGGGGGCGAGGGATAGCAGGGCTCAGCTGTGCCTTTGGGGTCTGGCGGAGGCAGGTCCACAGTGTGCTGCTTAGGTGCTATGAGGAGCCTGGTGTGGCGCGACAGCCCTTCTCACCTCGTGCCCACACATTTGTTGTGAAAACCATTTCTAGTGCAAGTGGAAAACTAAACAAAGTTCAACTGTGAGACTCCTCAGAGCCTTTAATATACTACTTCCTCTCCTTCAGTGGCTCTGCATTGGACTTACTAATAGCTAACATTCACTGGGCACTTATTGTGAGTAAGGCACCACGCTGAGTCTACATGGCTTATTTCTCTAGATCCTCTCAACAGCTCTGAAATAGTATTTGTGTCTCTATTTTATAAGTGGGCTTAATGAGGTGAGGTGACTTGCCCAAGGTCACATAGGTGTGATTTGAACTTGGGCAGTATGACTCCAGAGTTCATGGTCTTAATCTGTGGACTTACACATCTTCCAGATGCTGTGCTTTGTGTCCCTTTGGGCTGCCACATACACTTCCCTATTCTGCATCATTTTTGCCCCTGCCCACTCCAGCCTCTCCCTTGGCTTGGATAATTCAGCTTTTACTTTAAAGTTCTATGTCAGGTTAGAGCCCTTGCTTTTTGCTCTTATATCTCCCCCACTTCATGATACATGTCTTACTCTGTTATTTGTTTGCTTTCTGGTAGGTGGTGAGCTTGGTAAGGGCACATCAAATTCGCCACTGTGTCTAGTGTGGTGCTTGGCACATGGTAGGCGTTCAGTAAATAGTTTGACTTGGAATGAATTTCCCCAGAGAAATTCAGTTTCTCAATTCAGGCCTATTAAGATCTCTTCGAAGTGTGCCATGGATCACAGTTTGGAAATTGCTGAGATGGAAGACTTGGTGCCAGAAGAAACTAAAAATACAGGCTTAGATCAAGTCATGGAGGGCTCTGTGCTGTAGGAGTCTAGACTTGATCCTGAGGCCATGATGGGAAGCCAGGGAAGGGTTTTAAACAAACAATTTACCCAGAATGTGCCTTAAGAAATCCCATATTCCTACTCATTCCCCTTGGTTGAGTGGTGGTTCCACTAACTGCAGTAGAGATTATAGGAGGAGGAATAGATTTGGGCAGAAAGGAATGCAGAAAAGATTTAAGTTTTGTTTTCTATGTGTGTATATATGTAAAAACGTGGTAAAAAGTTGTGTGAGGATTGGGTTGGCTGGAGGGTTGGGGGAGGCAAGTGATACAGTTGGATAGCACCTTTAAGTCAATCTAAAAATCGGGTTTTCCCAGGAAGGCCACCAGGAGCCTTGGTGGGTCCTTGAATTGTTCAGCAGGGCTAGGGTCTAATACCGAGACTTGGCAGAAGGCGGGCAGGAGCAGAATGGGAACACTTGGGGCTCTGGTGGTGTTGAGGCTCCAGCAGAGGTCTGGTGTTAAGGGTCCTTGAGGGGGCTGTGACATCCCATCAATCTCAGGCCTCTCTCCCCAGAGTTGTGTGGGACTCCAGGGTATCTAGCACCAGAGATCCTTAAGTGCTCCATGGATGAAACCCACCCAGGCTACGGCAAGGAGGTCGATCTGTGAGTTTCTGGTCTCCCCCTTCCCTCCTCCTTTGTGTAATGTCCTTCAACACATTCGCTCACCTAGTCCTCCCTGACTGTGGTCTCTTTCTCAGCTGGGCCTGTGGGGTGATCTTGTTCACACTCCTGGCTGGCTCGCCACCATTCTGGCACCGACGCCAGATCCTGATGTTACGCATGATCATGGAGGGCCAGTACCAGTTTAGTTCACCTGAGTGGGATGACCGTTCTGACACTGTGAAAGACCTGGTGAGCTGGGGCCATGAGAGGGCAAGGAGGGAGGCCCAAGAGCTGCCCTTCATGCTCTGGCATTTCCCGTAGATCTCGAGGCTGCTGCAGGTGGATCCTGAGGAGCGCCTGACAGCTGAGCAAGCCCTACAGCACCCATTCTTTGAGCGCTGTGAAGGCAGCCAACCCTGGAACCTCAGCCCCCGCCAGCGGTTCCGGGTAAGCCTGAGAGTGTCAGGGCGTGGGCCTGCTCCTCTGTCCCATGATTTTTCTTTTGGTGGATGTGCCCGTGGAGCTCACACTGCCCCCTTTCCCAGGTGGCAGTGTGGACAGTGCTGGCTGCTGGACGGGTGGCCTTAAGCACCCACCGTGTACGGCCGCTGACCAAGGGTGCACTGTTGAGGGACCCTTATGCGCTGCGGCCAGTGCGGCGCCTCATTGACAGCTGTGCCTTCCGGCTCTATGGACACTGGGTGAAGAAGGGTGAGCAGCAGAACCGGGCAGCCCTCTTCCAGCACCGGCCCCCAGGGCCTTTATCCATGATGGGCCCTGAAGAGGAGGGGGACTCAGCTACTATCACTGAAGATGAGGCCATGATGGTGCTGGGCTAGTACTTCAGCCCTGAGGAATCCCAGGAAGCAGAACTCTCCAGGAGGAGGATTTTTATCATTCCAGCCCCTCTGGGCTATGGCCTGAGGCCCCCATGCCTGGCCAGGCCCGCCACTGATCAAAGTATCATAGAGACCAGCCCTGTACACCTACCCACACTGGCCAGGGCTTTGAGATCAGAGCTGAAGAGGAAGAGAGCCACCCAGAGTGCCATGCCTGGCCTTATCCATGCTGCCTGTGCCACGTATGCAATAAAATCTGCTACATGCCAGGGAGAGCCAGCGTCCTGTGTCTGGTGCAGGGAAGCCCAGAAGGTGCTCAGGATGGGGGCAGGGTAGGGCCACTTTGGTCCAGGTCTTTATTGGGGAAGAGGGTGGGGGTCACTAGGTCTTGTTCTTGCCTTTGCCTGGAGGTAGCTGGAGGGGCCGCTCGAGTGCGGTCAGCTTGCTGCTGAGCCTTTCCTCACTGGCCTTGAGCTGTTCCTCCACCAGTTGTTGGAGCTGCTCCAGTTCCTTGTTCATCTGGGTCTTGATGTAGGCCCGGAGGATGGAGACCTGGCCTGCAGGGGCAGGGAAGAAGGGACATGTCAGAAGAGATGCCGTCTGGGGCTGAGGGATTGCCCCTAGCCAGGCAAATACAACCTTCCAGGGTGCCCCTGGGAGCTACACTAGTGGCGGTGTTGCTTCAATTCAGAAAATGTCAGCCAGCCCTTCTGTGAGAGAAAGATGGGCAGAGTGGCTGTGCTGCTGCATTTTCTGGATTGCTACTTAGTAGCCTTGTGACCTTAGGCAGGTGACTTAACCTTTCCATGCCTCAGTTTCCTCTGTGTAAAATGCAGATAGTGATAGCACCTAGCAACTAGGATTGAGAGAGGATTAAATGGGTTAATAGATGTAAAATGTGGGAATTCCCTGGCAGTCCAGTGGTTACAACTCCACAATTCCACTGCAGGGGGCACGGGTTCGATTCCTGGTCAGGGAGCTAAGATCCTGCAAGCCACACGGCTTGCTGTGTAACAGACAAAAAAAAAGGTCTATATATATATATATATATATATATATACACACACACATATATATATGCTTAAAATGGGGCCTGCCTGGCACATAGTGTTGTCAAATGTGTGCTGGCTATTATTGTCATTGGGTTGGGTTTTTTTTCCCTAATATTTATTTATTTATTTATTTACTTTCGGCTGTGTTGGGTCTCCATTGCCGTGCATGGGCTTTCTTTAGTTGTGGCGAGCGGGGGTACTCTTCCTTGTGGCACGCGGATTTCTCATTGTGGTGGCTTCTCTTGTTGTGGAGCACAGGCTCTAGGCATGCGGGCTTCAGTAGTTGTGGCTCACAGGCTTAGTTGCTCCACGACATGTGGGATCTTCCCAGACCAGGGCTTGAACCCGTGTCCCTTGCATTGGCAGGTGGATTCTTAACCACTGCACCGCCAGGGAAGCCCTATTGTCATTGGTTTTATAATCTTTTTCTGGGACTCCTGCCTCACCCCCAGCAGCTGTGCTTTTATCTGTTTGCCATCTTGGACTTCTGCATAAGGAATCATTTGGAGAAAGGACACCATGACTAAAACAAAAATTCTGAAGTCCTGATATGGTCTAAACCCTTCATTTCACACCTGCCCAAAGTCACAGGGAACCCTAACCCCTCCAGGTCCTCACTTGGCTCTGGCTCTGGCTGGACCACTGTTTCCGGTTCCTCCTCATCTGGGGTGAGTGCCTGCTCCTCCACCTCTTCACCCTCTTCTTTCTCTGCAAGCCAGAAGGCAGGAGGAGGCTTCAGCCCCAGCCCAGTCCAGCCCTCGCCCCGGCATTCTCCCTTACCCGTCTCATCCTTTGGCCAGAGCTTGGGTGCCTGTAGCCCCATGTAAGTCAAAGATAGATCCAGCCGCACCTGGGAAGAGGGAGGAAGACGTCTGCACTGAGGGAAAGTGGGGAGATGAGGGGTGGCCTCTTATAGCCCATGGCCCAGTACCTGGGGTGTGAAGACATATTTGTAGAGCTTGAAGTGGCGGAAGTAGGTGTTGACCACATAATCTGCCAGGGCCAGCAGCTGTTCCTCCTTAAAGAGGTTGATACTGAAGGGGGGCCGCTGTGGGGATGATTGGGAGTTAGAGGACTGACCACCTCCTGAAGCCCTCACCTTTTCTCCAAGTGCCCGGCAATCCAGGAGCAGGAAGAGCCCACTGTGGCCTTCAGAGGAAGATGAGGGTCATGTGTGTAAGAGAGGGTGGGAGGCTGGGCTAGACCTTATCTGGGGGGAGAGTGAAACTGACCCTGATTCCGTGGCAAAAAAGAACACTGGTGAAGTAGCGGTAACATTCCTCCACGTTGCCCAAGGGGGTTGCTGGGAGGGAAGGCAAGATGTGACAGTGAGTACTCTCCCTGATAATCATTCATTTTAGTCACTCAACAGCTACTTATTGAGCATGAGCTTTAGAAGTAGAAAGATATAGGCAACAAATATTGAGTACCCACTATGCACTGTTCTGGGCACTGAACCAGACAAGTTCCTGCCCTTAAGAAGCGTATTTTCTAGTGGAAGTGACAGACAATAAACCAAGAAATACATAGTTTAGCTCTCGTTAAACATCCTGTAGAAAATTAGCTCCAGGAGTAAAGCAAGAGCTGTTTTATTGAGCACTGTGCATATATCTACATCTATCACATATAATATTTCTCAGAACAGTTTCATAACGTTAGTGCTGTAGCCTTATTATAGATAAGGAAATAGAGGATTTCAAAGGTGAAATAACGGGTGTGATACTGCTGCTAGTGATGACAGAACAAAGATTTCAGGTGCTAATCCTGCTTTTACTTCCCCTGGTCACTTATGCCAGCCTTCTCCTCTCCCCTGGACTCACAGCCTTCGGGGGCCTTCTCTTACCAATACAGGCCTTGTGAAGATCTTGGAGCAGGGCACAAGCCGTTGATGTCTGCTCCAGGGAGAAGCCTTGTTGGCGGCAGAAGATGAGTGCATGGGAGAAGAGGTCCAGGGTGATGGCGTCCCGCAGGCTCTGCGCAGGAGAGCCTAGTCCCAACAGCTCGGCCAGCACCCTTGGGAGGGAGAGAGGAAGGAATGAGTGACAACCGGAGCCTCTCTTCACCGCCCCACACTAGTGTACAACAGGCTTTGGAGCCAGGCATTCCTCATGCCTTCCCAGCCCATCCACCTCCCAGCCTTCCCCAAGAGCTAGCTCTTATTGCCCTCCCTGCTCCCCTTGCATACTCCCTCATCTCCTCAACATTGGCTGTCTTCTCCAGCCTGTGCATGGAATGGCTGTCCAGGTACTTCCTGTCATAGGAAAAGAGGGGAAAAGGTGTTGGTGGCCATTATGCATTACCCTCATAACAGGGCTATGATGGCTAGAGCACTGGACTGGGAACCAAGAGACCCGAGTTAGAGGTTTGGCCCTTCCACTGAATTGCTGTGTAACCTTAGGCAGGTCACTTCCCTCTCTGGGCCTCCCTTTCTCCATCTGTAAATAGAGGGTATGGCCAAAATGAACTCATGATCCTCTTCATTTCTAAAGCGTAGGGTTAGGAAACTTGAGTTCTGGTCTCTGCCACTCCCTACCGTATAACTGGGCAAGTCTCCCTCTGTGAACCTCAGTGTCCCCATTTGTACAATGCTCCGTAGAGGCACTGATACTACATTTACATTCTCAGTCTTTGGCTCGCCTCTTCTCACACTCTCTTTGGACTGGGGCAGCAGGAGACCTGACTTAGTCATCTCGGGTAATTGCATCTCTGGGCCTCAGTCTCCTCATCTGTAAAATGAGGATACCGTTGCTGTTTGACAGGATTGTGGGGAAGCCCTAAAGGAGTAATACAAGTGTGAAGGGTAACTTTCCCCCAAAGCTCTTCACACTCACCATATGCAGATCCGGGGCTGGGGCAGTGGCGGCTGCAGAGAGAAAGCGCATTGGGAAAGTCAGAGCTGTGTTGTTCATGGCCCCTAGTTCTTGAGCCGTTGCGAATCTCTAGCGGGCCTAAGAACGCGCTAACTTGCCTTCTCATCTTAAAGACTAGCTACGAGCAATGCTGGCGGGCTGGGCTTCAGCGACCCCTAAGTACTATTCATGAGCATATTAACAAGGGGGGGGGTCACACACCCCCGTCTCTTCACCAAGGCAGCCCGGGAAACGTCTTGAACGTTAGAAAGCATAACGACGGGTGGCGCCCTGCTGGGGAGCCCTTTTATAAACATTCATGAGCGGACGACTCTGTCCAGTCCTCACCGGGAACAAGTCGGCTGCAGGATCCTCATCCGCATTCACCGAAGCCACGGTTCCCGACTCGGTATGCACACCTGTTCCCATCCGCGTGGCCGATTCATCCAATGACCTGAGGGCTTTCTTGGGTTCTCTCCGCAGTTCGTAGTGCTGTTCAAGCTCTGATTGCATTTTCAGTCCCTGGAATTGGCTGGACTTCCGGCGGATCATCTTGTCGCTCCTCTGTGCTGCGGGGCACCACAGGTTCTGTCCTGCCTCGGTTCTGGGACAGCCGGTTCTGCGGCAGAGGCTGCCAAGGCCTGGCCCTCTATCGACGCTTCAGCCAATCTACGCTGCAGAGAGGCCCGGTGCAGCCAATCCGCTGGGGGCGTCTTCCTCCGTCTCAACGGTGACCGTTGCTAAGGGGGTTCTTGGAGCAAGAGAGAAAGTGTACGGCGCTCGCCAATCAGTGAGAAGAGAATGCGCGTGCGTAATAAGCCGCAAGGCCCGCCCCCGTGCCCTCGCTTCAAAGTTGCTATTCTGAGGCAGGCGATGTCATTAGGACTGGAGAGTGGAAGTGTGTTGTCGGTTACCATAGGAACTGTCTACTGGCCAATCACTGAGAGGAAGAGGCGGTGTTCAGGAAGAAACCAAACGGGACCCGAAAGGCGGCACAAAGCGCGACCAATAGAAACAGGAAGTGGAGAAGATTTCTCCACATCCGGTACTGCCTGTGGCGCCTGCGCTCTGTGCTGGGGAGGCCAGTGACGTCCAGGGGAGTCCAAGATGGCGGCGGTGGGGTGATTCTGCTGCCGGTGAGGGGCCCGGGGCCGGCGGGGCGGGGTCCAGCAGGTGGGTGCGGAGGAGGCTCGGGGCCGCAGGAGCTCCGGCCGCTTCCACATCTCTGCTCTCTGTGTTCTGCAGGTGACGGAAGCGTCGCCTCCGCCTGCCTGACGTGCCTCGGGAGAGCCTGCGCCGCTCCTCCCCGCCGCGGCCATGTCTGGGCCCGGCAACAAACGCGCCGCCGGCGATGGGGGCTCGGGGCCCCCAGAGAAGAAGCTGAGTCGCGAGGAGAAGACCACAACCACGCTTATAGAGCCCATCCGTCTTGGGGGCATCTCTTCCACGGTTCGTGGGCTCCTGTTTCAGGCCTCACAACTTACCAGAACTCCCATCTCTGTTCTCCGTCCACGTCGTCCAGAACCTTACTCCCAGTTCCCCAGGTTTAGCAAGATCCACTTTTCAGAACACTCTGTTGAAAGAAACCGAGGACGCCATGTCTGCCTTCCCTTTACAGATAGGAAAACAGGTTTCCAGAGGGCGTGTGACTTGTCAAAGACTTCAGAGTTAGGAAGAGGCAGAAGCAGAACGTGACCCTCCTCACAACCGAGACGCTTTCTCTGTGGGTGTCTGAGCCTCTTTAAATCCTGTTAGCAGTTAGTCTGGGGTTACTCCTCTCTCCCATCCATTCCATTTTGCTTTTCTTTGTCTCTTTCTATGATTGGGTTCTTGGTCCCTGCTTGACCATCTTTTCGGCCCCTTTGTTTCCTTGGTAGGAGGAGATGGACTTGAAGGTTTTGCAGTTCAAGAATAAGAAACTGGCAGAGCGGTTGGAACAGAGACAGGCTTGTGAAGATGAACTCCGAGAACGAATTGAGAAGTTGGAGAAGCGGCAGGCCACAGATGACGCCACACTCCTCATTGTCAATCGCTACTGGGCCCAGGTGGATGCCCTTCTACTTTCCAAGACCTGGCCTTGATCCAGCTGCCAATCCTCAGACTCCTCTGCTAGGAAAGGAGTATCATGCTGGGAAGCACCTGAGGGATTCATAACATTTTTGGTGCTTTCTCCCTTCAGCTGGATGAAACTGTGGAAGCCCTTCTCCGACACCATGAGAGCCAGGGGGAGCTGTCTTCAGGGACAGAGGCGCCTGGGACCCAGGAGGGGCCAACACGTGATGAGACCCCTCTCACAGAGCCAGGGACATCGGAGCTGAGGGGTAGGGCCAGAGCCCTGGGATCTGGGAAGCTTAATTAAGTTCTGGGGAAGGTCCTGGAGAGGAGGGAACTTTGACATTAGGCTGCTGAATTCCCTGCTTGCGCGCGTGCACACACACACACACAAATTGATTTCATATCTGGGCAGCAAAGGGCACTGGGTAAGAACACAGGTTTTGGAATCTGAGTGACATGGTTAAGAGTGCAATTCATGTTTTGACATTCTTAGTTCAAAGAAGTATTAAATGCTGACTGTGTAGTTGACATTGTTGTAGCTTTGGAGGAGACAAAGAAAATAAAAAAGAAATACTTACTGCCCCAGCCATTAGGGAGGAAGTGGTTATAAACCATAAAAAAAAGTATAGGGGTCCCTGAATGGGAATTAGTGTGTATGCACACTAGTTTAGCTTAGGAAGGCAGAGAAGGCCTTCCCTGAGGAAGTGATTTGGTAGCTCTCTGGCTTTGAGGAAATTACCTCACTGAACTGCAGTTATTTCACTTTTAAGATGGGGATAACAACAGTACTACAGGGGTTGGTTATGTTGACTCAGTGAGCCATAGAGAGTTGAAGGAGGCAATCTGGAACTTGGTAAAGAGTGGTGGTAACTGTTACCATTAACCTCATGAGGGTCTGTCCGTCCCTCCCAGAGCCCCTGCCAATGCAGCTGCGGCCACCTCTCAGTGAGCCAGCCTTGGCTTTTGTGGTGGCCCTGGGTGCAAGCAGTAGTGAGGAGGTGGAGCTGCAGCTGCAGGGCCGCATGGAATTCTCCAAGGCAGCTGTGTCCCGTGTCGTGGAGGCCTCTGACCGCCTACAGCGCCAGGTGGAGGAACTCTGTCAGCGAGTATACAGCCGAGGTTAGTTCTTTGTGCCCCCATCCCAGAGGTGTCCAACTCCATTTGCATCTTTATGGTATCCCCTCCTCAGTGCTCCTGGCCCAGAGGCAGCCACAGTTCCCCAAGGAATAAATCAGCCATGTTTTCAGGTGCAGGCTTAGGCTGTTGATGGTGGCTCTCGCTTTGATTCCTGGAGTTGAGCTCTAGAGAGACGGGTGGGAGGAGTTGTTGATGCCGGGGGAGCCTCCCCCTTGTGGCTGGAGACCTCTTGGGAGCATTGTGCACAAATCTTGATGGCAGTTGCTGACCCACGAGGCATAGCAGCAAGTGCCCAGGCTTTGCAGGCAGACTGACTTCTCTCAGCCTTAGTTCTGTCAGTCCAGCCTGGGCGTTCTGAGCAGATGGCTCTCCTCTCTGAGCTGGTTTCCTCCTTTGTGCAGTGGGGACAAAGACTCCTGGCTTTGTCATGAGAAAATGGCAAGACAGCTGGTGGATCACACTGGGCAATGACCTAGCAGACTCCAGGATGAGTTAGTACTTTGACCCATTGCCTTGGACTTGGCTCTTACCCGAGCCCTCCCTTCACAGGGGACAGTGAGCCCCCCAGTGAGGCGGCTCGGGCACGCACCCGGGAGCTGGGCCGTGAGAACCGGCGACTGCAGGACTTGGCCACCCAGCTACAGGAGAAGCACCACCGCATCTCGTTGGAGGTGGGAGTTGGGCTTTTAGGGTGGGATTAGAACCAGGGCAGGGTTTGGATTAGATGGGCACCCAAGGATCTCAGGGAGCCGGGTCTCTTATCTAAGTACCTGTCCCCTTCCTTGTCCCCAGTACTCTGAGCTCCAGGATAAAGTGACATCTGCAGAGACCAAAGTGCTGGAGATGGAGACGACAGTAGAAGACCTGCAGTGGGACATTGAGAAGTTGCGAAAGCGTGAGCAAAAGCTCAATAAGCACCTAGCGGAGGCCTTGGAGCAGGTGGGGTCAGACATTGGGTCAGATGGAGCCAGAGCAGGGTACTTGGGGCCCTCGCTTCTCTCCTCCACACCCTGTCTCCTCTGTCTTCTCTCCACAGCTCAACTCTGGCTACTATGTATCTGGGAGCTCCTCAGGCTTTCAGGGGGGCCAGATCACACTCAGCATGCAGAAGGTGAGCAGCAGCATTCTTCCTCGTCCCTCCCACCACCTTTTCTCTACCCTACCCTTGAACATCCCCTCAGGATTAAGGACAGACGTCCAGCTGTGGTCTCGGAGGTCTTTCCCCGTTACTCACAGTGCTTTTTATTTCATTCTTTCATATGTGTATTCAGTAAATAATTGCTGAACACTAAGTGCTAGGTACTGTGTAGGAAGCAGGCATTTTGGAGAACGAAACAGACAGGAATTAAACCTTTCATGGAGCTTAAGTTCTAGTTTGGGTAACTGACAAGAATTAGGTAAGGTCGTATGTACATCAGCTGGTTAAAAGTACCACTTAGGGGCTTCCCTGGTGGCGCAGTGGTTGAGAGTCCGCCTGCCGATGCAGGGGACACGGGTTCGTGCCCCGGTCCGGGAGGATCCCACATGCCGCGGAGCAGCTGGGCCCGTGAGCCACGGCCTCTGAGCCTGCGCGTCCGGAGCCTGTCCTCCCACTGCCCTTCCCACTCCTCAGTTTGAGATGCTGAATGCGGAGTTGGAGGAAAACCAGGAATTGGCCAATAGCCGCATGGCAGAGCTGGAGAAGCTGCAGGCAGAACTTCAGGGGGCTGTGCGGACCAATGAGCGCCTCAAGGTGAGCTGTGTTTGGGGCTGGGAGGGCCTGAGCCTGCACGGTAGGAGCTGAGCTCTGAAACCTCTTGCTGATTGCCTTTGGACATCCCTGCCCCTAGGTAGCCCTGCGGAGTCTTCCTGAGGAGGTGGTACGGGAGACAGGGGAGTACCGAATGCTGCAGGCGCAGTTCTCACTGCTCTACAATGAGTCTCTGCAAGTGAAGACCCAGCTGGACGAGGCCCGTGGGCTGCTGCTGGCCACCAAGAATTCCCACCTGAGGCACATTGAGCACATGGAGGTATGCCCTTGGAACAGGGGCAGGGGACAGGGGTAAAGGCCAGACCCTTAGGGTCAGATTGTTCCTGGGTCAAGGGTGTCAGAGGCCCTGTGTGCCTGCCAGAGGTCCCTTGGGAGTAAATTCCTCCTGAGCTGCTGAGGCCTGAGGTAGGGGGGGCTTGCCAGGAACTAAGGGGTTGGGTGGGTCCTTAATGCCTCAACCCACAGAGTGATGAGCTGGGGCTTCAGAAGAAGCTGCGCACAGAGGTTATCCAGCTGGAGGATACGCTGGCCCAGGTACGCAAGGAGTACGAGATGCTGCGCATCGAGTTTGAACAGAACCTGGCGGCCAACGAGCAGGCGGGTATGTGGTGAGGACAGGGTTGAGGTGGGGCCTTATCTGGGATTGCTGGGCCCTGGTGTGGCCAGATGCTTATCCAGATGTAAGAGGTTAAGTCCTTTCTTCTCCCAGAGCCTCATCTCTCTGTGGAAAATGGGGACCACACCACCTGACTCAAAGGCGCAGTGAGGCTTACAGCCAGATGAGGTGGCTCGTGGAGCAGACTCAGGCAGAACGGGAGCTGTCACCCTCATCCATACTTCTCTGGCCTTATGGTGCCTCTCTGAGATACTAATTCATTTTTCACAGATTTATTGAACACTTTCTATGACCCAGGCTCAGTTCTAGGCTTTGGGATGATACCAGTGAACAAAACATGACGGATCCCTGTTGTGGAGCAGTGTTATAGTGAGGGAAGACAGACAACAAAGGAGGAAAAAATTGAACGTGTATATTAGGTTGTGACAAATATATCAAGAAAAATAAAGCAGGGAGGGAAGATAGGAAGTATTATGAGAAATGCCGGGGAAATGTAACTAAGAAGATGATATTTGTTTAAAAAGCTGAAAGAAGTGGACTAACTTACTTTTATGAATTTACAGTTAGTCATGTGTTCCTTTGAAAGGAAATTTGGAAATATTTTAGAAGTCTGCATTAGCAGGAATAACACACGTAGGCAGTGTCAAGTTATGTTTAGGTGAATTCTCTTCATTTGTTTGATGAGATCACACACTCTACATAAGGCTTCAGTTGTTATCTCCTTTGTAATGAGAGTGATGGCTCTGGCCCTGCCCCTTCCCCCACTGAGGGGTTGGGCCCCTAACCCAGGGACCAACCCAGCCTTCAACCCAGCCTTGGTTTCCTGTACTCTTCCAGGGCCCATCAACCGGGAGATGCGCCACCTGATCAGCAGCCTCCAAAACCACAACCACCAGCTAAAGGGGGACGCTCAGCGATACAAGCGGAAGCTGCGGGAAGTGCAGGCTGAGATTGCCAAGGTGAGGAGGGGCTGCCTGGGGAAAGCTGCGGCTAGACCCCAGTGAGCACGTCTCAGCCCTGTTCTCTCTGTGCTTTGCAGCTCCGGGCCCAGGCCAGTGGCTCTACCCACTCCATCCCCACCCTGGGCCACCCGGAGGACTCTGGCCTGAGTGCCCCAGCCCCAGGGAAAGAAGAGGGTGGGCCAGGCCCTGTTGGTGCCCCTGATGCCAGAAAGGAGATGGCTTCAATGCCTGGCGCTGCCATTACTACCTCCTTGGTGAAGAAGGAAGACCTGGTCCCTTCTGAGGAAGAGGCCCAGGCCCTGACCCCCGGGGCCCAGGGCCCCTCCTCCCGGGCCCGAGAACCTGAGGCTAAACCCAAGCGGGAGCTTCGGGAGCTTCGGGAGCGGGAAGGGCCTGGGCTGGGACCCCCATCTGTAGCCTCAGCTCTCTCAAGGACTGATCGGGAGAAGGTCAAGGTGGAGGAGGCCAAGAGGAAGGAGTCAGAGCTCCTCAAAGGTCTCCGAGCAGAGCTCAAGTGAGGCCCTGTTCCTTTCTCCTTCCCACCCCTGCCAAGTGGCCTCCAACCCTACTCACCAAGCCTTCCTCCTATGCCTCCCCCAGGAAGGCCCAGGAAAGTCAGAAGGAGATGAAACTGCTGCTGGACATGTATAAGTCTGCACCCAAGGAGCAGCGGGATAAGGTGCAGCTCATGGCAGCGGAACGCAAGGCCAAGGCTGAGGTGAGGGCAGGTAGGGCCTATGAGGTGTGCAGAGAGGCTGCCCCAGGGGGTTGTAACCAGAGCAGAGCCCTAGGTCAGCAGGAAGCAGTGACAAGAGAGCTCCCTCCTTCTGGTGGTTATAGGTCGATGAACTACGGAGCCGTATCCGGGAGTTAGAGGAGAGGGATCGGAGGGAGAGCAAGAAGATCGCGGATGAGGATGCCCTGCGGCGCATTCGTCAGGCAGAGGAGCAGATAGAACACCTGCAACGCAAGTTGGGTGCCACCAAGCAGGTGCGACCCCGTTCTGGTCCCCTTGCTTCTGAATATTGGAATTTCCTAAACCTCCTATTCTAGCACATGGCCTGGGTCCATTCTGTGGTTCTTTGCTCAGCCATGTTTTCCTGTGGTTTCCCCACTGTCGTCTTGTCCATCTACTACATTCCATCTTGTCCTTGCCCACTTGCTGCAGGAGGAGGAGGCTCTGCTCTCAGAGATGGATGTGACAGGCCAGGCTTTTGAGGACATGCAGGAGCAGAATGGGCGGCTGCTACAGCAGTTGCGGGAAAAGGATGATGCCAACTTTAAGCTGATGTCAGAGCGGATCAAGGCCAACCAGATTCATAAGCTACTGCGGGAGGAGAAGGATGAGCTGGGCGAGCAGGTTCTTGGCCTCAAGTCTCAGGTATGGCTGCCCTGGGCTTGTTAGAGTGGAGCTGGAGAGGCAGGGGCTCCCCAGCACTGAGTCCCCACCCCTGTCCTCAGGTGGATGCCCAGCTGCTGACCGTGCAGAAGCTGGAGGAAAAAGAGCGGGCCTTGCAGGGCAGCCTCGGGGGTGTGGAGAAGGAGCTGACACTGCGCAGCCAGGCCCTGGAGCTCAACAAGAGGAAGGTGAGGCCAGACCTATGCGAGGGGACAGCAACCTGGGATGCTGGCTCACAGCCTCACTTTGTGACTCTGCCTAGAGAACTTGAAGCAGATGACCTGGGCCGAAGTCTGGCTCTGCTTCATCTCACAGCCCAGCTCATGTCTCAGACACTTACTGTGTTCCAAACTGTGTGCTGGAGGACTTTGCATGCTTGGTCACATTTCAGTCTGAAAATAATCCTACAACAGTTTTTGTTGTTACCTTTCATAAGTGAGAAGATTGAGGCTCAGGGAGGTAGCTGACTTGCTCAAGAAAGAGTGGAACTGGAATTTGGGCCCGGGGTCTCCTTGGCTCCTCAGCCCACGTCCTGACACTGCATTGGTTAGCTGTGAAATGTGCATGGTGGTCTCTGTCATGTAGTTGTATTAAACCTAAGAAATGTTCAGCTTGTGGTAGTTGTTCTTCTGAGGGTAACAGAGTTAGGAATGATCTGTGGCGCCCTCTTGGTGATATCACTCCTCTAGCTTATGGTAAAGGCTTAAGATTAACATTGACTTTCATCTTTTTTCCCCTCCTGGACTTTTTTTCTTCTCCATTTGGCTCATTCATTTAAGCAGTATTAGTCATACCCTTGTTATATCCCAGGACCTGCACTGAGTGCTGGGGAGATCACGGGAACAAGACCGCCCTGCTGGAAGTGGGAACTTCCAGTTTTGAGGGGCAGATAGCAAGCCGATAATCCCACAGACAAAATAACATCATTACAGATCATAGCATGTTTTTTTTGTGTGTGGGGGGGGGTGGCACGCTGCACAGCTTGTGGGCCACGGCAGTGAAAGCCTGGAATCCTAACTACTAGGCCACCAGGGAACTCACGGTATGTCTTATGAAGGAAATAGAGGCGGATGAAAGAAAAATAGGACAGTGTGTCTCAGGAGGTGACATTTGAGCTGAGGCCTCAGGGGGTTGCAGGAAAAAAATGTGTGTTGAGGGGAGCAGAAAGAGGAGCCCAGTGAAGCCTCAAAGACAGGAGAGAGCGTTATGCAGGTGAGGAACTGAAGGTGTTGGGAATGAGGTAGACTAGGAGGAGGTGAGGGTTCAGAGGTCAGGAGACAGAACCAGTTCCAGTGAAGATACTGGACTTACCCCAAGAGCAGGTATCACTGGATGGTTGACACAAGCATCTGTGGGCCATGGCTCCACATGCCTGACTCCCCAGGCTCAGGCAAACGGTGCCCCTCCTCCCCGCTCCACCCACCTCAGGCTGTGGAAGCAGCTCAGCTGGCCGAGGACCTGAAGGTACAGCTGGAGCACGTGCAGACACGGCTGCGAGAGATCCAGCCTTGTCTGGCAGAGAGCCGGGCTGCCCGTGAGAAAGAGAGCTTCAACCTCAAGAGGGCTCAGGTGTGTGGTGGGCAGGGGTGGGGGCAGGAGGTTCAGATTGAGGACCCTTGCACTCAGCCTAGCCCCTCTCCTGCCCCAGGAGGACATCTCACGGCTGCGACGCAAGCTGGAGAAGCAGAGGAAGGTGGAGGTTTACGCAGATGCCGATGAAATCCTCCAGGAGGAGATCAAGGAGTACAAGGTGGGGCCTTGGGGCTGGGTTGTGCTCTAGGAATCTTAGGTGACCTAGGAATCTTAGATGGGGGGTTGGTGAGAGCTCTGGTGGGTAGTCTGGGGAACCCAGAAATAAGGTAGGATGGCAAAACCTGCGCAGAACCCGATGTGGAGAATCAGATAACTATCAAGTATGGTACACATACTACGTGCCAGGCAGAGTGCCTGGCTAGGTATGAGAGGGCTAGGCACTAGACTTGGTCTCAGATCTCTTGAAACTGACAGTCTGTTGGAGGAGGCCCAAGTAATTCTCCCATCTGAGTGATGAGCAGTGTGATGGCAGAGGCCAGAGGGGCTGTGGGAAATCAGGGGAGCCCCTTAACAGCCCTGGTGGTCAGCAGGCTTCCTGGAAGGAATATCATCCAAAGAAAAACTGAAGAGTGAGTCAGGGTTGGCCGTGATGAACGGGGATGAAAGGGTTCCACCAAAGGGAAAGGCAGAGGTGGAGGCCTTTAGTTGAGAGAGGCGTGCTGGAGGACAGAGCTGGACAGTCGTAGTTGGAGGACAGAACGTGGGTTTTGTGGTGAGTGACAAGCCTGGTGGGGGTTGGGCAGTGTTAGATCCTGAAGGGTTTGCAAACCAGGTTGAGCTGCTTGGCGTATGCTGTAGTCAGTGTGCAGAGAGCGATGTCTCAAGGATGTTGAGGATGAGGTGCCTGTGGGACTTCTTGGGAGGCTGTCTGGGAAGGCACTCAAAGCAAAAGGGCTGGTGTGGAGGACAGGAGTTTGTGGGGGATTGTCAGCAGAGGCAAAGGTAGAAGCCACATATAACTGTCGTCACCCAGGGAGGGTCTGTGGCATGACACGGAACAGTGTCATGAGGTGAGGGCAGGTAGGGCCTTTGAGGAGCTCTGACTCCTCCCCCGCCGTGGCGAGGGATGGCATCGGCCGTCACTCCCCCTGAGGAGCCTCGAAACTTAAATGATGGACAGAGGAAGAGGAGCCTGTAGCTTAGGAGGAAGGAGAGCGATCTAGAGGGAATTGATTGGGGAAGAGTTTCAAGGAGGCAGGGGTGAGCTCAGAACTGCCAAGAAGGCAAATGAAGCAGGTGTTGAGAGATGCCTCTTGGATTTGGCAGCCTTGGTGGGAGTTCTTGGGCAGAGGTGGAGGTGGAGGTCAGATCACCTGGACTCTCACCTACTGCAGTGAGGAAAGGGTGGAGAGTGAGTCAGTAAGTAGACAACCTGTTGAAGCAGTTTGGCCTTGAAGGGGCAGAGGCAGCTCGAGGCAGCCATGAGGGAGCAGGGAAGGGTTTTTGGAGAAACAACAGACTGCAGCCTGTCAAATGCTGATGGGTAGGGTTCTGAGAGCTAGGGAAGAGGTGATGCTTGTGGGGAGTTGCTGAGGTGGCAGGCAGGGCAGAGGATGAATGTTGGGAATGCTGAGTTGTGGGAATTTCCTGTCTGGAGTTGGAAGTGAGACCTGGTGGCAGGTGGGAAGTTTCAAGATAGGAGAGGAGATTTGTAAAACCTCCTTAGAGAGAAATGAATCCCAGGACCCACAGCAGGATTTCTGGGCAGCACCAGGGATGGGCCCAGTTGAGGGTTGAGAACAGCAGATTTCTAGTGGCACTGCCATGCCCAGCTGTGACTTACCAGATGCAGGTGGAGAGAAGGTAGACAGTCGGCTTAAGCCAGGATTGGGGTTTTGCCAGAGAAGGCCAAAGGGGCAAGAGATGAAGCCCCCGGGCAGAGGAGCTCAGGTTGGAGCCTGTGGGTCATTGACCTTTAGAGGGGACATGTGACCACTGGCCATCACCACCCAGATTAGAGGCTAGACTGTGCTACTTTCTAGTTTTGAAACCTGGGCTTTTGAGCCTCAGTTTCCTCATCTGGAGGATGCTTATCCCTACCTCCTAGGGCTATGGTGAGAGTTAGGTGCAGTCTGCTCTGTGGTGGCCTTAGTCTGGACCACCTCTTGCTATCAGCTTGGGATCCGGGCCCTGTCAGGATTGTTCCTGAGCTGATGCCTGTGCCCTGCCCAGGCGCGGTTGACCTGCCCCTGCTGTAACACCCGCAAGAAGGATGCAGTCCTCACCAAGTGCTTCCACGTTTTCTGCTTCGAGTGCGTACGGGGCCGCTATGAGGCCCGCCAGAGGAAGTGCCCCAAGTGCAACGCAGCCTTTGGTGCCCATGACTTCCACCGTGTCTACATCAGCTGAACCCGTAACTCAGGGGACTTTGGAACACCCATGGACCCTGGGGGCTGTGCCTCCAGTCCCTCCCCACCCCACACCCAGTGGCCCCCACCCTCCATTCCGGACCCTGTGGGCCCAGCCCCTCCCCATGTAGTTGGTTTTGGGGGCCCCAGTGCATGCTAGTGGGAGTGGGATTAACCAAGCTCAGTTTCACCTTTTCCCCAAGGTCAGAACTACAGCCTAGGGGGCACTTGCCCTGCACAAAAGGTCTGCTGTGAGAGGCCTGAGGGGCCCAGAGCACTCAACAGAACTTCTTGGAACCTGGCCCTAAACCTTCTCCAACTGACTCCACGGGCCCATCCCAGCCCTAAAGGGGAAATTCCCCAGGCTGTGACTTCCCACACAAGTGGAAGTTCACTACCTGCTTAGACACCCACAAGTAAGGACCAGGGATGGGTCAGATCCCCAGCTCCTTGCTCTGAGACTGGGCTCTGGGGCCCAGGGAGTTTCTTTACCCTCTGCTCCCCAGACCTAGGCAGACCTTCCCTCCTGTGGAGTTCCTTGGGCTCTTTGGTCTGGTCTTATACTAAGAGCACCTCCTTGATGGGGGCACTGTCTTCTGGGAAGCTCTAAGGTTGCTGCAGTCACCTTGCACTCATCTTGGGAGTGCTGAACTAAGATCATCAGTTTCTATTCTAATCAGACCCCTCCCAATCTCTACTTCGCTCCCAGGCCCCACTTACAGCCCTGATGCTTCCCAGGGCTCCGCTGGGTCCCCAGCCCTGACCCTGCTTTCATCCTGGTGGCCTTAACTTTAGTGGAGGCAGAACTTCCAGGGGGAAAAAGGGACAGACTAGCGTGCTGGGCCGACTTCCAATCATTCCAGGTAGAAGAGCATCTAACACCCTGTGACTGAGCCTATACCCACAATGCTTCCTGTGTTGCCTGCCCAAGCACACTCTATGGGCTGTGAAGGCAGTATGCAGGGGCCTGGAAGGTGGAGCTGCTGAGAGGTGCAAGGCTCCTCTCCGCCCCTGCTCTAGAGATGTCTTGTATAGGCTGTTAATTGTTTTGAATAAACATCCAACCCTCAGCCTATAGTCCGGGTAGCCAGGCTTCCTGCCCTAAATCTGGTTCCGGATTTTGGCTGTTACACTTGTTCCCAGCGCTGCCCTGGCTGGCGTGTGAACCTGGAGGGCCTGCACAGATGAGACCCCACTCCCAACAGTTGGTTAGACTGGGCCTTTGGGAGGGGCGCGTCTGCAGGGAGAAAGCGTCGTGGTCAGCACTCTGTCGCCAGCCGGCCCCACCTGTTCCCATGGGCAGGGGCTGACACCCTGGATCTCCGCATCTCTGCCGGCCCGGTCCGTGCGGGCTCGCTACAGCCGGCGCAGTCATTGGCGGCAGGGGTGCTGGGAACCCCGAGGTGCATCCTGGGAAATGTAGTTCTGTATTGGTGCTTCTAGGCAAGATCCTCGGAGGGGAGAGCCGGGTCCCCGGTTGTGCTGGCCAGAGGCGGGCCTGGGCCCAGTCTGTGGGCCGTTTTTCCCCAATGGCTTCACCCGCCCTTCCCCCTCGGACGGACAAGCAGGACGCCTCAGCGGGTCACTTATTTCATTGCGACCTGCACTGGCCACTGGCCTTGTTCTCAGGAACTGTGTGTCCAGCGGCGCCTGTGGGTTCAGTGTGCTGTCGAGTCCGCGGCCGGAGGCTGCACTGGGGCTCGCGCTCGGGCCGGTATTGACCGGGCTTGGTGCCGGAGCTGGAGCTGGAGCCATGGCCACGGGAGCGGCCGCCGCCTTGTCAGCAGTCACGCCCTTGCGCGAAGCTGCGGCTTTATCAGAGGTCTCGCCTTTGCTGGGGCTCGCGGCCTTGTCCGCCTTCGGGCTCCACATGGTGCCCAAGGTATCGGCGGGGCCGCAGCGGTTGGACCAGGTCGGACCGGAGACGGGGGCTACAGTGCTTCCGGCTCAGGGCTGGCGGCAGTGGGCGCGCTCGCTGAGGCTCTCGCCGTGGCGGGGGATGGCATCGGGCCGTCGAGGAGGTGTCCGTGGCTCCCGGCAGTGGTGGCCAAGGTGGGAAAAAACGCAGCACATTGCATCATAGAGATGCCGTCTGGCTCTGAGGGGAGCGCTGCGCCCTGGAGCGGGCCGGGGTCCGCCAATCTTCTGTGAGCACTACCCTCTTTCCCAGGAGTCACCTCCACGTGAGCTCCTTAACAAATGCAAGTGACTGCGACACCTCCCCAAATCTCTCTCCTGGGCTAGTCTCCATATCCAGTAGGGCTAAAATCTCTGAGTCCTCATGCTTAATAAAGTATGCCCAAACCACTTTCTCAAGCTCCAGACCAAGGGAGTGGGATAAAAATCCCAGAATTTGTGGGAAGAGCAAGCACTGACGCTGCAGGAAGAGCAGTAAACTCACCGTAAACGTTGGTTTGCAATGAGCCTGCCCAGTGCTGGGAGGATCTGCCTTAGGGGCTGGTCAGCCCCTTGCACTCAGGATGTTTGATCCCTTACAACCTCAGTGGCTGTGTGATACCCTGGGCCCCTTGGGATGGGCAGGCCAAAGCTCCTCCTGAACCAATCTTGACCTTGGCTGGCCTCGGAGGGTAAGCAGATGCTGGCCTCAGTGGCAAAGTTACGTGTTTTAGCCAGAATTAAGGCTGCTGTCTGTGGCCACAGGGTCCAGGGGAGCATTTGACATTAACCACTCTCTTTAAAACTTCCCTTGGGCCCTGTGGTGCTGCACTCTCCTGCTTTTCCTCATACTTACTATCTTCTCATGGTCCTCCTCTACCTATAAGCTAGACCCTCTCCTTTCTACTCTACTGCTCTCCCTGGGTGTGTTTATCCAGGACCATGGCTACAGCTAGGCTGCTAAGGCCCAACTCCTCCAACCCAGTTCTTTCCTGAGCTCCAGACCTGGTAAATCACCATCATTCGTGGCCAGGGTTGGGTGAGGGGGATAAGATCACATCACTCTCCTTAACCCCCTCTCCCCCAATGGTGCCGTTATTCCAAAGTTACTCAAACGGGATGCTCTACACTCCAGGCTCTGCTCTCTCCCTTTTCTCAGTTTCTACTCCACTATGCTCCAAGCCTACACCTAACTGTTATGCACCTTCTATCCCCCACCACACCCCTGGCCCCTACACTTACTATTTCCTGTTCCTGCAGCCCTCAACCTTCAGGTCACTTCCTCTGCCAGTTTCCTGACCCTCTGCTGTGGCAGGTACCACATCTGGATACACAGCCCCTTCTGCTAAGTATGAACCAATGTGCTCCAGTGTCTGTTCTTCCCCTGTAGTCCCCTCACTTTGCTGAGGATCCTCCTGTGCTGAGGTACCTCAGTGTCCCCAGGGAATATAGAATAGCCTTCTTTACTCGCTTCTACGTGAAACGCAATTCCCTCCTCTCTTCCCCCCTTCCCCACCGTCCCCCACCCCTTGCTTTCCAGATGGAAAAGGGGAAGGAGAGACAATTGAGTCAGCCTTGGGAGTCTAGGTCAGAGAAGCACAGGGAAGGTGGGGAGACAGCTTCCTGGCTGGGGCAGGGGCCCCCGGCAGACTGCGGCAGAGGCAGGCAACAGGTTAGAGCAAGTATTGACCTCAAGCAGCCACGCAGGGGCCATGGCCAGGTCTAGGTTCAGGAGATAGCGCCGAGGCAAGCCTGCAGGGCGGACTCAGCGGAGCAACCCCTGCCTGGCCTAGACAGTGTGGAGCCCAGGCCAGGCCCAGGCAGGCCCAGCGGTGGGGGAGGAGAGGCTTGGTTGGGTGCAGAGCTTGCTCCTGGCCATTCTGGTTTCCCTCGCATCTTAGGCAAATGGCTGCCTCCTGTTAGCCTCAGCCTCTCCACACGTTGGGGGCTCACGGGCTACATCCTGAGAGTGAGATGACGAGCCAGGTCACCACCCACCTCTCCTCGGGGGCTAGGAGGCTCTGGTCCAGAGGAAGAGCTGGGCCAGGGCCAGGACCCAGACGAACCAGGGGAGGTGGCTGCCGGCTTCTGGAACTAGAATCTTAGGCACTTTGCCTTGTGGCCATCTGGGGAGGGTGCAGGTGTTGGGGCCCAAGAGGCCTCCCTGGGGCAGCACAGCTGGACCCGAGCCAGCGAGTGCCAGAGTCACCAGGCTGCCACCCAGAAGTTGGCATGTCGTGCTGCTTGGCTCTGCCACCTTCTCAACACATTTCTGCCCCTGTCTCCCAAGGGAGCAGATTCTAAAACTCCATAAACCCTCAGGCTCCCACCAGCAAGCTCTGGATGGGGATTTTAGGCCTCTGGGAAGAGGGCTGCAAGGGCGGCCTGGGGCTGGGCTGAGCTTTTGAGGTTACACATGGAAGCTGCCCTGGGAGAGGACGGGCGCTCTCAGCTTGCTCTAGGCTTGAAAGAGAAGACAGAAACCACCTGGGAAATCTTATTCCCTTTATTCTCTTCAACTATTCAACATGACCACCAGTGACACAACACTGTTATTGACACACAACACTCAAAAGTGGGGCCTCTCTTCACTCCAGGGGGGACAAGTCAGGTGAGTGGGGCTTCCCTCACGGGGGCAAAGGAGTTGGGACTGCTCACCTGAGGGGCGGGTGCCATGGAACCCACCTCTTGGTTGTGATGGTTTCGAGTTGCCCCACCATTCAGGATTCATGCCCATGCTCCCTTCTGACCTCCATATCCATAGCAGTTTCAAGTTTCAGCCTAAGCTCAGATCAGTTTCTATTCTCCCCTCTGCTTTCACCAATGACGCTGTGACCCTGTGTCGCACTCCTCCACGAGGGCCCTTCTTAAGAGTCAGGCTTGCGTGGAGTTGAACGAGAGGGTTTGGCTACGCTCTGCCTTCCAGACCCAGTTCTGGTGGGAAAGTGCCACGACCCCTGGGCCTTGGCCTGAGCTGGTCAGAGGGACTCGACACTGCCACCTCCCCCAGCCTGTTCCCTGTTTAGTTCCTCCCAAGATGTAGCTTGCTCTGGGAGGAAAGTACCCAGCTAAAAGAGTTTGGGGAGGTGGGCAACAGAGAACAGGTGACACCCCAAAGTTCTCTGACTCTGCCCCCTTTCTTGCTATGAAACCCCAGACCCCAACTAATCGTGTCCACATCATCCATTCAGTACCGGAGCCAAGACCTCTGGCCCTCACCCTACAACATGCGAGCGTCCTACTACGTATGCTACACCCTAGTCCTCGGTTGGCCTTCAGTCGGCCTTTGACCACACTGACCATCTTCCCCTGGACTGACCCTGGAGCCCCAAGGGCTCTCCAGGACCCTTCTGGAGACAGATTCCTCAGACCTGTTTCTGAGAGGATCTGCTTCTAGCTTTACAAGGGGTTTGTCTCTACAACTGAAGTTTCTTTCTGCTGCCATCTTACAGGGAAAAAAACCTGCTTGGAGAATCGTCTCCTCTTCCTCAGTCTCAGAGGGACACCCCCTTGGTCCATGCTGTCAGTAGAGGCAGGCAGCCTTCTTCTCCCCTCTTGGTGGTGCTCTCTGACCTGGCACTTGGGTGGGGCGGGGCTTTATGCAGATGTTAACAAGGGTCTCCCCGTAGTCATCCAAGGCCTGCCTTTTCCTTCTCCCCAGCAGGCCTCGCTTCTTCCTCCTACAGCGTTCTATGACTTCGATCTTTGAATTTGAGGGTCATCCCTTTGGGAACAGGATAGACGAAGGGTGAAGGACTTTCACCTTTTGAACTTTTAGGTAGTGGAATCAGAGGTCTCTTCCACAAGTTTGTAGGAAGCTGGGTCACCCTCTCCAGGGATGTGACTCCTCACCTGGCATCTCAGTCCTCTTACTTCAGGACCACAGTGCGTTACAGGGGCCAGCGTGGGGTCAGTGGGCACTTCCATTGAACCCAGCACTGGACGGAGTCCTCTCCTTCTTTAAGGGTCTCTAGGGTTAGGGGATGGGGTTCTTGTTACAGATGTTTCAGGAGTTTTCTCTCTCCAACCATTTTAGAAGAAAACAGTCTGTTTCCCCTGCCACACACTCCCAGTCATGTGAGCGCGTTTGGCTGGGTTAATGAAAGTATGTCACTGTGTGTGGTGTGTGAGGACTGGAGACAAGCCTGGCCAGGGAGTGTGTTTCTCATCCTTCCATTTCC